ACTAAGATGAAATGAAATTTGAATGGTGATTATAGATTTAAACCATAATATTGTTTATATAGATATTTTAGTGTAAAATTAATCAATAAATGAAAAGCACGTGAGGACAGGAGGGAAGTAGGGGGAACCCACAGGCGCATGGTACCTGTCCAACTGCTTCACGTGGGCGTACATGAGAGTAATAGAATATAGTCGAATTTAGTGAGAAGTTTATGATTAGTTTAAAATTTATAATTTAAAATTTAATTTAAATTTAATCGAATTTTAATTTTTAAATTTAAATTTGATTTGAGTTAAATTTAACATATTTAAATTTAATTAATTAAGTTTATTTATCACATAAAAAATTTTGATTTTTATAATTGATTTTAATTTTAATTTAATTGATATAATCGAATTTTTTTGGTAAGAAATATAAAAATTTTAAACTTAATTTGTAATTTATAATTCGAAATTTAATTTTTATTCAATCAAATTTTATTTTTTAAATTTAAATTTGACTTGAGTTAAAAATTACTTTATTTAAATTTATTTGATTAAATTTATTTAACAAATAAAAAACTCAATTCTCATAATAAATTTTAATATCAATTATTTATATTTAAATTTAAACTCGAATTTTAGTTAAAATTATTATATATAAAATAAAATGATAAATTTTTAATTAAAATATAAAATTAATTAAATTCATAAATTACTCAAATAAAATATTTAAATATTTAAATTCAATTAAATTACTCAAACTTAACTAAATGTTGGTCAAATTAAAATAAAATTTTATCTGAATCAATAGCTTCAAAACATTGGTGTATCATTTATTCATTTACCTAATTGCCCTTGCTCAGCTTCCTATATCGACCCCTTTATCGCCACCTCAGCTCAATTCACCTTCAAATTGGCAATACTTGTTTTCTCGTTTCTGTCTGCCCCTTCGGCTCTTCTCCACCGCTAATCCCGCGTGTCACCTAGCTCTTTGTACTTTGCTCGTACGCAAGTGTGAATACAACAGGTAGAAAAGGTAAGTGTTTAATGAGGGCGGCTAGGGATAGCTATTCAATCTGTTGAATTTTATTACATTTTCGTTAATATTTCGATTAATTTAATTAATTCAATTATTGAATTGAATTAATAAAAACTAAAATTTTAAAAATTATTTTTAATAATTAACGGAAATTGATTAATTGAATTAATTTGATTAACTATATTAATGGAGTTTTAATTGAATCATCAACACATCTGAGGGCGGCCACAACGAAATCCCACCACGTCATTCGTCCATGTCCATGGTGGATTTTCCAGAGGGGTGAACGGTGGAGATTGGAGAGTCCTAGGGATGATCACTGGCCTGTATAACATCATTGCTTAGTTACGCCAGTATAATAAGACAAAAACCCGATATTGCAAAAATTGACCATTGAATGAAACTCTTTAAATGAATTTCGATCCTTGACTTAGCTCATTCGAGGTGTTGATGCTAACATTTTTCCAACCAGCAAGCATGTCCCATTGATAAAAAAGTGTCAAACTTTCCCCTCCATATAACTCAAGAAAACCAATCATCCGTCACGGTTCCTGCATAACTCTTTCAAGTTATAGTTTTATTTAATGTCGAAAACGGTACTTAAAACTATTTTATGGATGAAATTGATCGTATTGTCACCTAGATGGGGTCGATAAAATTACAAAGTCAATTGAAAAGGATTAAAGCTTTGTTTTTCACCTCATTTTTTATCGATTAACTGAACAAAAAATGATTGGATCACTTGATGGATGGTAACATTTTTCCTACCAAGTAAGAACGTCTATCGATAAACATGGACGTCAATATATATCCTTTCCATTCAATTAAATCTAGCCATCAACATTTTCCGACTTTTCGCTTGCATTGTCTGGAAGCAATTTTCATTGAAAACTACTGATTGTTTTTTGTATGGGTCAATTTCTGTTTGTTAGCCGAATTGTACTTTCTATACAATGACAAACTAATTTAATATACATGTTTGTTGAATATGAATTTGGGTAGAGATTTTTATTTTAATATGAATTTGGATAGAGATATTTTCTTGTGAAGTTTGCCCTAATTTCATTATAGATAATGTAAAAGGGTTTTTTAGTAAGATGAAGATGCGTTACAAATAAATAAAATAAGATGTGTTGCGATATGAATAACAGTGAAATTAATAGTTATAAAAGATATTAATACATTGTATAATGGAAATTTAATTAGCTTTTGATGATAAGTATAATAAATATAAAAGTTTATTATTTATTCTTCAAAAAAAAAAAAAACTCATACTTAAAACATATTAAGATGAGACATTTTAATTATTTCTATATTTGATCTACCAAGTCATAAACCCTTATGGAATAAATATTCAGCTTCCTGTGAACCATCAAGTACTAATATATTCAATGTTTGCTCAATTACTCTTTTACTGGCAAATGCAATATAGGCATTGGGTTCAGCAATAATGATATCCCCAACATAACAAAAACTCGTAGTCACTCCACCAATGGTAGGAGATGTAAGAATTGATATATAAAATAACTTTTTATTTGATTAATAATCATATAAAGCATAAAATATTTTAGCCATTTGCATTAAGCTCGAACTTTCTTCTTGCATGGATGCTCTTCCAGAAACACACACTAAAATAAGAGACAAAAAATTATTGGTAACATATTTGATCAAACGGGTGATTTTCTCGCCTACTATGTATCTCATATTACTCCTTATAAACTGAAAATTCATAACCCTGATTATTATAGAAATATCATTTAGTTGACTTGTACATGTTTGAATAGCCTCAGTTAATCTTGTTTTTCTTTGATAAGAATCAAGAAAATTTCTTTAAAATATCCTAATAATGAAATTAACCCAAAAACGATGTCATATTCTAAGATTATTTTTATTTTTATTTTTTGTAAAAAAACATTTAGTGAAGTATCTTTTTGTGTAATAACTTTTAATGAAGTAATTTTAGATAAAAAAATTTTTCAATAAAAGTGTTAGTGTTGTTATTTAAATAAGTTATTCTAAAAATAACTATTTCATGAAGGACTTGTATTTTAAATAGTTGTTTCATAAATAGTTGTTCTGTAAAAAAAAAAAATTACTTTTCAAATAAAAAAAGTAATAAAAAAAGCTATAAATGCATCTTAAAGTTTAGTGACTCCATTTTTACTTTTTCAATAATCTTATGGTATTGAATATCCATATAAGTTAAAAATAATTATACAACCTTATGTTATTTAAAAATAAAATTTGAACTCGAAACATAAATAAATTGATTAATATAATCATGTGATATTAAAAATATTTATAATTTTTTTTTTAAAAAATATCTAGAATCTTTTTTTGTTCAACAAAGAAAGTTCATTCTTTCTTAAATATCTCCACCTACGATAAAATAACATTTAAATAAAGTTGTAATTCATATCACTGTGATTGTGCCCTTTTCACCAAAGTTCTTGATGTAGCCAACACAGAAAAAAGAAAAATTCCCAAGTTCAACTATACTTGGCTTTTTTCTTTTAGGGATGTAATGGAATCGACATTAGCTAATGGAACTATCTAATTAATCATGGCAATCAAACATCAATCATATCATTTTAGATTTTAGAGTTAATGAAAGTAACTCATCATGGAATATCTCGATGATATGAAACGTCTACGTTTTGTGTGTTGTGTTTTTTTTTTTAATTTTTTAATTCTAATTATCATGTCTCAATCAGATCTGAACCCTTGTCTAAATTAAGAACAATTAAAAAAGTTGAAACATAATTGGTTGACGACAGTAGGAGTACTTTTCGAGTTCAATCAGATTAAAATCTTTACCGAAATTAAACAACTAAAAAAGTTGAAACGGAATTGGTTGATGATAGTAGGATTAATTAATAATAATTCGAATTCGATTAGTATAAAATTTAAATTTTATTTAATTATTATTAAATTATATTTAAATTTGAATAATTTAATTTATTAAATAAGTAAAATTTGAGTTTTTAATATTTGATTTGAATAATTTTTTAATTTAATTATATTTTTTAATTTTTAATTTTTTATTATTTTAATTAAAAAATTATTATTTTATCTTTATATATATAAATTTGAATTTGAAATCGAGTTCAAATATAAATAATCAAACTTAAAATTTAGAATAAAAATCAAATTTACTTTTTATTTTGTAAACGAATTTAATCAAGTAAATTTAAATAACTTAAATTTTATCTCAGATCAAGTTAAAATTTAAAATTTAATCGAATTTAAATCAAATTTTAAATTAAATTTAAACTCAAATTTTTTAATGTATAAACTTAAATTGACTCGATTATATCCATGATAATACTAGAAATAAGCATGGCTACTAGTCAGCATTAAGCTGCTTTTTAGACAACGAACCGAAGATGGACCATAGTTTTTTTGAAGGCTGGGCCTAAAACACCAACTTGAATTTCATTTGAGCCGACAAAATCAACTAGTTGAAATGTTGAATGATAAAAAAAAATAAAAAAGGAAAATGGGTAATTTATTACTATTGTTACTAAATATTTTTAATAAAAAAACATAACACAACACTTACTAAAATTATAGTTAAAACTTCTGATTAGATTAAATTTCAAAATTATAGTTAAAATCATAATAAAATTTATCTAGGTGTTCTCAACTGACTTCAACAAAAAATAAAAAGGAAAAAAAAAACAAAATGTACACTTAAAAGAAAATTAATTTGTGGCCCAAATTCAAACTTACAAAAGTAAAATTGAAAATAACAATTGGGAGTTGTGACCTACATTCAAACTAGTGGTACATAGAAGTTCCCGCGCTTGGACCGACCGGGGCTTGGCGCCATTTTTTGAACCGCCCAAGAAGACCCTTCTCGAGAGGTCACCACGTGTCTTCCATGTATATCAAGTTTAACCCTTGTGTGACACGTGGATATCCAATGCGCTTATCTTTAACTTCCAGAACCACCCACATTTTTTGAGCTGTCCGAAGCTTTAAATACTCATCGAATTTTTAAGCCCGTTTCAGAATGACGCTAAGCTAAGTTAGCCTTTTGTTCTTTTGAAAGAGATGGACTGTCAAACGGTGTCGTACGGGGATGTGATATCGATGGTGAAGATGATGCAAGAAGAGCAAGAAGGTTGGTCGACGCCGACACGTAGGGAGTGTCGGATACCGGTGGTGAAAGAGTGTCCGCCGCCGCCAACGAAGAAGAAGCTGTTTTCGTTTGGGAAGAAAAGGGAGCCGCCGAAGAATGGGTATTTTCAACCGCCTGATCTTGAGACGTTTTTCTCAATGGTAACTACAAGGCAAGCTTGCGCTTAATTAGCTCCCCTTGTTTTAATGGCCGAGTTTTGTTTTATTGGTATTTGTTGATCGACTTTTTTTTTCTTTTGTTTGGTCAACAAAAAAAAAAAAATGTTTGATGTTTCATCCTTGAACTTCTCGATGTAATCTATGTATCTTCCATCTGTAAAGAACTTCTACTATGATGTTTGAATTATGACAAAAATTTTTTTTTAAAATGTCTAAATTTGATATTTCTAAATTTATTGTTGTTTTTCAAAATTAGATCTCATCATCTGAAATACGAGAAAAATAAAAAGATAAATTTAAAATTTTAATAAAATTTATAAATTAAAAAAAAATAAGACACAAAAAATGATAGATTTAAAATTTTAACAAAATTATAAATAAAAAACTGTATATTATGTTGACTCGAAAAAAGAATGACAGCTGTGGGATTTGAACCCACGCCCTTTCGGACCAGAGCCTAAATCTGGCGCCTTAGACCACTCGGCCAAACTGTCGCGCAGTGCATGTTTTGATGAATACAAATAAATAAATAAAAATTAAAGTGGGCCTTTGTTTTCCAATTGGTTTGATTTATGAAAGCCCGTTTATTGCCCAATTTGTTTTCTGGTTGTTTTTGAGCAAATTATTCTTGTTTGATTCATTAAACTTGGATTTTGCAATGGGAATATTGGTTTTTGTTTTAGTGATTGAAAAATTAGATCGTAATATTTGATTAAACTCGGGTCTTCGATTTTAATTAATTTTGTTATTTTAATAATTAAAAATTTATTTTTATAATTTTAAAATTTTTAAAAATTTTAAATATAAAAAATATCGATCATTATTGAAAGATTTAAGATCACCTTGTGTGTGTGTATATATGCAATAGTATATGATCGATGCATCTCTAACTGAGATTAAAATCCGTTGCCCTTGTTTGCTTTTTCTTTAAATATATAGGAAGAATGGTTAATGAATATTTTTTTGGTATGGCTAACATAAATATTGATAAGTTTTCGGATATCACTATCGAAAGTGATTTCAAAGCTGTTAGAACTTAACTTAATACAGTTAGTATAGTTCTCGGAGATATAAGGATTTATTGAATATGTTGTATAACTTATTTGCAAGGATTAGTAATGTGTCTTTTGTGCATGTTGTTTTGGAGGCTAATCATTTCGTAGATTTTCTTACTAAAATGGGAGTACATAGATCCTCTGATTTTGTATGTTCCTTATTTATAATCAATAAATGTTTTAATTGTTTTTTTAAATAAATTTTTTGATACAAAAAAGATTATAATATAAGAATAATAAAAAAATGATACTTATTAATATTTAAACTTCAAACCAGTTAAATATAAATTTTTAAAAGTGATTACGTAAATCAGTTGGATAAATTAATTTTTGAATATTTCTTAGTGATATTAATTGTTTTAATTTGGTGCATGATATATCTCTTTCTTAATTAGTGAATTTTTTTTTTTTTTTTTGGGGGGGGGGGGGTGGTTTACATGGTCTGCATCTCCTTTTTTCTTAAGGGAAGACGCAAGTGAAAGATTCCTGCTCCATAGATCAAGTTCAAGCACTAATGAATTACTAGGTTTTCTAGTCTATATGTAAATCTAATAATTCATATTACCATGTCGTATAAAATATTGTATTGATATCGTGTTTTATACGAAAATCACGTGTCATAATTCATGTCGATACAAAAATATTAAATATAAAATTTTTTATTTTATTCAACCTATTTATGATTTTTTTTAATTTTAGGTCGTATTATTTTCATGTTCTTTATTCGTATTGTTTTTTTTATTGTATTTCAAATTTACCTGATATGCTACACATCCAATGATGTTTCTTTTTCTTTCCTTTTTTTTTTCTATGTATATGTTTAAAAACTGCAAATAAAATAAATAATTAGCCTATAAATTAACTGATGCTAGATTGCCAATGGAGTTGTGATGTTGCCATTAGATGATTAAATACATGAAATATATAGTAATTTAAAACCCTTGTTGTATAAACTGAGCTCTTGCCAAACCATGGCTTCCTTGATTTACATGAACAAGTTTATCATCACTTGGCAATCAAAAAGTGGACATCATTGATCCTCTCAAAAAGAAGTATTTTATCTACAATTTTCTTTATTATAATTTTATAATTAATCAATCATAATTAAAAATTATATGAGATATACTATTTAAAAATGTGGACTCTACATAATTTTTTGTGAACCTTATATAATATTAAATTTTAATTAATTAATTAATTACACTATAATAATTATAAATGATATGTTTCTTTAAAAGAAAGTTGACAACAATCTTATCCTTTTATCCATATATGATTATGGTTCAACCAAAGTGAGATATTAAATGTGGTCCTCCTCATTCATTCTTAACTTCTAGTGTGTGTGTGTATATATATATATTTGCCTAAATTATGTTTATAATTTAAATTTGTACTCTTTACTTTTAATTTTTATCATTGCTTTAAATTATGATCAATTTAAAAAATTCTCTAAACGTGTGGAGAGGAAAGAGTCCAAGTTGCATATGAACTTTTAATATACATATAAATTCATAATCTTCTAAGTTAAATATTTGAACCACTTGCAAAAAGAGGTTATTAAAAAGGTTCAAAAGGTGAAAAGATGATTAGCTGTTATGGTGTAACTAGAAACTTGAGAAAATAAAAATAGTAAATGAAATTCAATTTAAAAATTTGAAAGTGGCACAAAAGGAGGATGAATTGTAGAAATGTCATTAAATTCTAGGTCCACCTAAACTTTTAATTTTAGCTTGTGGGGATGCAATATAGAAAGCTAACTAGGTGCTGGTTGGTGTGTGCAAGAATCCCCAAGGAAGGCAGCCTTTAAAATCTGGGACTAATTGGATCCCTGACAAAGTAATTCCTCTTCCATGATAATAATCCACATGCAATGCTTGTTTTGCGGCATGAATTGAGCTTTAATCAATAGAACATGTGTGAAGACTCGTACTTAATTTGTGAAGTGTTATTCGTTTTGATTTTAATATCTTATGATTTTATAATCGAATTCAACCATAGAATTAAGATCACACTAGATGTTGGGATTCTAATTAGAGATGGCTCTTCACTATGTAATACTTAATTTCGATCAACTAGTGATCGTGCTAATATTATTTGTAGAGATTTGCATCCAATATGTGAGATATTGTTTGCTTTGATATGAAGGTCTCATAATTTTATCCCATAAAATGTGTCTCACAAATTTGAACTTAAATTTTTAGATATATATTATACCATATCCACACATTCTTTTAATATGAAATTGAAGGCATCACAACATGATTACTTCATCTATTATGATAAAAAATAATTTTTCATAAATTCATTAAACTCAGTGTAAATGAATACGCTCTAATTGATTAAAAAAAGAAATATAGAACCTATTGGTAGATCTTACTAACTTTATTGGACACCTGTATATGGACTCCATGGATTGTTATTCTAGTACCAAAGATTACAGTAGATAAGAACCGTGATTTCGGAGAACTCTTTTACTGCTATATATATTGCTCAATTACTTCAACCAATCATCCCCCCCTTTCTTCACTGTCTTTCTTTGTACCTTCTTCCATTCCATTAATTTCTCATAAACAACTCTCCACAGGGTTTTTGCTAACTCATCCTCTTTCTAAATATTTTCATTCATATTGTGTCACTCTTTGATAGATTAAGGAAGAATCATAGCTTTTCCTTGCTTTACTTGGATGGTGGTATTTTTATTCTAGATCAGCATCATTTGTTTCCTGGCTAGTTCCCTAATTTATTCAATGTAAGTCTAAGGATTATGTGACTAGATTTGATATATAGTCGACCAAGCCTAGATAGCTAGGTTATTCTTTTCTTCCTTTACTCTTTTTTGCCCATTGTTCTTATTCTTGATTTGACCTTGTGTCTTTCTTAATGATGCAGTTGCTTAATGATTTATTGGGGTGGGTTTTTTTTTTATCGGTTTCCTTGGTTGCTTTTCTTCAGCAGCATATACTTTTCCCATTTGAATTGTTCTCTCCTTTAATGGGTTAGGGTTTTATCCATTTATTTTCACTTGCATGGGGAGATCTATATCATCTTACATCTCATGATCAAGACCATCAGTCAGTGTTTGCAGATGCGGCATCATCAAGATTCACAAACTTTATTAAGGGCTTCTTTGGACGCCGGAGAGTGGCTCTTTTACTCGAAAGTTTCCTATCAAATGGGAATCTTGATGATGCTGCATCAGCAAACATATTGGCTCCTCTCACTTTTCTTTTATTCCAAATAAAGGAAGATTATTCCCAGTGTGATCAAGGTGAAAGTCCTGCTACGGATGCCGTGCGAAATATATATATATATATATATATATATGCCAAAGGTAATGTATAATTTCTCTTTAACATCTATCATCTTTTGACTGATTCTAATCATGCCTTTGATTTACTTTACTATTCTGGCTTGCTAATTACTTATTGGAGGTTGCTAAAACAGGTACTAATATAAGTTAGCTGGTGCTGACAGGTAGAGCCCACAGTCGACTGAAGCTACCATCTTAAGTTTATTTACTATATACAATAAATCGGGAAACATTGTTTTAATGTTAAAACATAGATATCCCAGACACTTAGACACAGCTGAAACGTTCAGAACATTTCACTACTGAAGACTCTGAGCAGATCTTGCTATACCCTTTTTGCTTTTAACCAGCTGCAATCAGTTGCAGCTTTTCTCTTTCAGGGATTGCTAAAATTGTGGTGCATAAAAAATTTGTTATCTTATGGTTCTTTCTAAGGAAGATCTTTCCCTCAGGTTGGTATATATTTGAGTATGAAGATTTTAATTTTACTTCATATATACTTCATAATATTGCATACATGCATTACTTTGAAATTGAAAACTTGAAAATTCTACCTTTTTTATAAACAAATTCAAGAATTTATGTTGAAATTGAAAATTACTTATCTTCTCTGCAATACTATTTTGACTAATTCTCTGGCACGCTATAATAATTATATATATATATATATATATATCTTTTCATAAAAAAAAAAAACAATGAAAATCCTCCTTCACAAAGAAGATCGCTAGTCATAAGCTCTCCTTGCTATTTTCCCTTGGAAGTTTGGTATATGTCACCTGAAAATGTCTAAATATTGTTGCCTAGCTAATTATATA